TTTCTTGAAGTTCTTTGTGACTCTTGGAAGATAAGTGTGTTTGTTTTCCACTTGTAAATTTTCTACTGATGAATTAATGAAAGTGTTATTGATAAAAAAAAAAAAATTGTTACATGGAGGCATTTAGAGTGAATATTTGTAATCTTGCAGAGTCAATGTAGAAAGCATTTTGATAAATCCACATGATTCATTTTGGCTGAGCTCGACATATATTTTGGAGACTTGTGAACACATGTTGACTAAGTCCCTTGGTGTCCATGCAATACTGCAATTTATATGCATTCAAGGAGTTTAGCTGTCTGGTTTAGCTGTCTGGTTTCATAGTTCAAGTATTATTTTGATTTAAATCTCTGTAGTATAATATCTCTAATTCTTCTCTGTATTGTGAACTAGATACTGGACACTGACTCAACAACTTGCACACCATACAATTAATGGTTGCAACCTGAGGCCTGGGGATCTTCTTGGAACTGGGACCATTAGTGGACCGGTATGGGTTTAGATACTGTTCTGTAGTACTGAGCAATAGTGGTTGTACTAGATTTAGCACTGTTTTGTTTTTCTTATTTCTTGAAGTCTGTCGAACAATTTTCCTTGTGCTGTTTGATTTTTCATTTGCAACCATTTGACTTCCTAACAGGAACCAGAATCTCATGGATGCCTGCTAGAATTGACATGGAATGGGCAAAGACCACTTTCTCTAAATGGTTCAACTCGTAAATTCTTGGAAGATGGTGATGAAATCATTATTACTGGTTGTTGCAAGGTTCTTCCTTATCTTCTATTTGATCTTACTTGGAATTTACTGCAACAATGTCTTTTTTTCCGTATGAAACAAATAAATGATTAAATGTCACTGTGGCTTTTGTGTGGTATTTTGTGCAGGTAGACCATTTAAACTCTATTAATTCCTACTATTATCCTGTTCACCTATTCCATTCTGCTACTTTCTTTTGTTTGTAAAAATCTCTAGGTTCTGATTAAGGCATTAAGCACGGGCTGAACTAAACAATCTGTGGCCCCTTCTTCAGTACTAAGTTATGATTTAACAGTACATGTCCAACTGGCTGGAAACATACTCATTTTGGGTTCCTGCCTGAAAACACTCCTTTTCCTTTTTTTTTTTATTTTTCTCTTCTGTTGTTTCATCTTCTTTGTCTCTCTGGTGCAAAATGTAATTCCATCAAAACTACCCTCACTTGACATTCATGGATTCTGCATATATTTAAGGGGTGTTCGACAGTGTGAATGGTTTTATGGTTTGTTTTCTGAAACAAAAACATCTACTGCCATGTCAACAAAATCAATACATTTTTGCTGCTGTAGCAGGTTTTGTTTTTGAAAACAAAACCATTCACATTGTCATACACCCTCTTAGGAAAAAAAAAAGCCATCCATGATATTGAATGCCCCCTTTGTATCCCATATTTTAATATGCAGGCTTGAAACTAATACATAGGGACATTTGTTTTCCCATCTTGGTTTGTAACTCATGGAAATTGAATCAAATGCAGGGAAATGGTTACAACGTAGGATTTGGGACATGTTCAGGAAAGATTGTTCCAGCTCCTCTTTGAGGATATTGTTATTGGCTTATTTCTGTTTTATTGTGGAAATGTACTTTTATATGTGGAAGTAGTTCTAGTCCTTTAGATGTTCAGTTCCATATGTGGCCTGAAATTGTCATAAACGAGAAGATGCCTATAAAAGTGTTTTTGTTAAATGTTTATACTGAGATCTATCGTTTTATTTATTTCGTCTTAATTCCTCCATAAAAATGTTTTCACTCTTCTTCCAAACTAGAGCTGCAAATGGTATTCATTCATTCATAATCAGATCGAATATGGATCCAACAATATTATGTGTTGCCAAAGGAGCGTTATGTTCAATTCTTGTAATAGGCGAATAGCTTTTGGGGAGTCCGGATTTCCTGCACAATCCTTCCTGAAGACCTTTCTGTACATCCAATCAAAGAGTGCCATATAAGCACTCTCTTGTATTAAAATTTCACGTGTGTGGGTTAGAGTAACAGACGTTTCAAACGTCTTCCCTATTTTTAGTATAAGTTCATAGAAACAACAAGTAAAACTGATCTTAACCGCGATCAACCATCGGAAGTTAAGATTACAGAAAATAATCTGTAATATATTTTTGCAAATATGTCGAAGAAAAGACATTCGATGACTTACCTCTGTTTTTCCTATTTCTGCTCAAAGTAAAACCACCCATCGTTGAGCTCTGAGAAAGATCTGACTCTTCTATATCTGATATTCCTTCCCATGAAAGAAAACCAAGGAGAAATCCTTCTGGAGTTAAAACAGAAACCAGTCAACGAATGCAACCGAAGGAGAAAAGAGAAAGAAAGCCTCTGAAGAGGGGTGTTGAAGAAGAACGTGTTTATCAGTCCGAGAATCATCTCTGTGTTCACGCGTTTAATTCCTGGAAATCGAAAGTCAAGGTGAAACTCTTAATTCTCTAGTGTTTGATTGTTGATTTTAGTTGGTTTATCAGTTGGAGAATCATCTCAGCCTTTTAGCGTTTAATTCCTGGAATCGGAAATCAAGGAGGAAGTCTTATTCTTCATTGTTTAAGTTTCTTGTTTTATCTTTGAATGAAATAGGAAAAAGAAAGCCTTTTAACGTTTAATTCCTGGAATCTGAAGTCAAGGAGGAAGTCTTATTCTCCATTGTTTAAGTTTCTTGTTTTATCTTTGAATGAAATAGGAAAAAGAAATTTAGCTGTATTTTTTATTTGTTTTAAAATTTTAATATACTAAAAATAGGGAAGACTTTTGAAACGTCTGCTACTCTAACTCAAACATGTGAAATTTTAACATGATTGGGTGTACAGAAAGGTCTTCAGGAAGCATTGTGCAAGAAATTCAGACTCGCTTTTGGGAGCCCTATTTATATCTATCTATATATTAAAATGGAATGTGCTAAGCTTGCACCTTCCTTCATTATGGTTTCTTTTCAAAGTCATTTATCTTTTTTTTTCCTGGTTTCTTCTCAAAAACAATTATCTTTTTCTTTTGGGTAAATCTATTAAACTATCCCTACTGTTTAGCGTAATGACACATGGTACCCCTACTGTTTAGCTATTGTCATTGCCGTTAAGTGCTAACAAAAGGAAACAAAATGTCAAGTTTGCCCTCTTCTTCCTCTTCAATGGAGCAAGGTCTTGGCGGAAGTTGGGACTCTTCTTCCTCTTCAATGGTGCAAAATATCAAGGAATGGGAAGCCAATTCTTCCCCAGAGGCTTGCACCGGTGATGCCTTCTCTCCCGGAGGCTTCCAGTTTCACCGTCAGGCGAGGTCAGGAGGTCTGTTTCATTTACACCGAGACTGGTGCCGGTACCGGCATCGGTAGAGACAATGGCAATACCGTATTCATGATCAGATCTGAAGAACCCTGAAGAAATGGTGCTTTAACAGAGGGAAAGGTAGAGCAATGGAGAAAATTTGGAAGTTCAAAGCAGATCTGAAGAACTTCCAATTTGAGAGATACTCAGATCTGGGTTCCTTCTGAGATCTAGGCTTGCTGTTTAGATCTGGCTGAAGCCTTATTGTTTAGCAACGGTGGCTATTTAGATCTAGGCTTGTTGTTTAGATACTCAGCTCTTATTGTTTCAGCTCTTAATAAGTTTTAAGGAGATTTTGAGTTCTTCGATGGCTGAAGCCTGAAAGCCAAACAGGGAGTGGAATGGTTGCAGAGTGGTTCATTGTAGCTGCCGCCGGGGAGAGGGATGGTGAAGAAGAAGGGAGAGGGACAAAGGACAAAATTGGGTTTTGAAAAAATATTCATACATTACGTGGTGTCATGTGTGTATGAATTTTGACGGAACATTACCATATATTAACGACAGGGGTAGAGCTAGTCAATTGCCAGAAAACTTAAGGATACCGCAACACAATAGCTAAACAGTAGGGGTAGTTTAAGAGATTTACAATTTTTTTTATTTTTTTTATTTTAAAATAGAACAAAATAACTTAAAGCACTGACCAATCACCTTTTAAACTTTTAATACTCATTAATTCACCATTAACACACACTCTCTCTCTCCTCTTTTCCATTAACTCTTTTAATAATCTCTCATTAATTATGCCATTAACTCTCTCCTTCAATAAATGATGCCACTAATTCTCTCTCATCTCCATTACTTCATTAAATTTCACAAAATTCATTAAAGATTAATTATATTCAAATTGAGATATTCAACGATATATTATTATGCTAAATAATCTACTTCCATTTATAATTATAACTGATTTATATTCCATTTGAAAATAATAAAAATTAATTAACCATAATAAAAATAATTTAATAAGTTACTTAAATAAAATAAAAATTATTATTAATTATTGTTAATTAATAAAAGGAATATACTTAATATAGTTAATTGAATTTTATAAGGAATTTGTATTTAATAAAAACTTAATATACTAATTTAAATTTAATTTTTACTAATTTCAAAAGTTAATATAAACCATCAATTTTAAATATAGTTTAATTATTTTAAAGTCAATTTAAATTCCATTTAAAAATAAGGAACACTATAAAAACTTCCTTGGGTTTTCTAACAATCCTATGTAACTCCCCAGTGTTTTGACATTATCAAAAACAACCCCTATTGTTTTGAAAAAAGGTGCAAATACCTTCTTTTCGTCATCATTCAAAATAAAAAATGTTGATGTAATGCATTAATTTTACTTCACTTTAGCCTTTTTGTCTTACTTTGTCCAAGAAAAGTAAGGAGAATTATTCTTTGAAAGTTGCTTGGCAAAATAAATTAGTGGAGGGTAAAGTTAAAACTTTAAATTGTGTATGATAATGCATAAACAGTGATAAGTGTATTTTAGTAACTTCAATTCCTTTGTTACTGAAAAGCCAAGGGAAAGGAGGTACTTTTGCACTTTTTTTTTCAGAACTATATGAGAGGTTATTGTTAGGGTCAAAAAACAAAGGTGGTTTATAGAATTGTTATTTAGATGTTTTTTATAATTTAACCTAAAAACAATACAAATACAAAAACAATAATAAACCAATAAAAAGTATTAAAAATTCTTTTTAAATAGAATTAATAAAAAACAACATTAAGATACAAAAACAATGCAGATTTATCTAGAGAACAGAAAATTGACCACTCTCACTAAAGCACAACTTAGATTGTTATTGGATAAATTACATATAACCCAAAAAATAATACTTGAATTGAACTTAGATAGGCACTTGAAAATGTCATAGAGCTCCATCATCAATTTTGCTTATAAATAAAGCCCGTATATCACATGGGTCCTAACTAGTTCTAAATGTGAAATTGCTTAAACTTTCATTGGTTCGAAACTTGATCATGGAGCAAACCCAATTCCTTTTCTGAAACAAACCCCTTTTCAGTTCAGCTGGCATTAAGCCACACATGGCAATCCTTCTAGCAGAGCCATTGATTCCTATTCGGGAGGATTCAATTTTGAGATCACTTTGGCAGTTTGGAAAAAACAACCTGGGCTGTTTTGGGAGCCTCTCTACACATGACACCTTAGCTAATTCAAGTTTTCATTTGTCTTTTCAACTAAAAAATATCGAGTGTAAATACTATTTTACCCGTACTCATTATGAAATGTCATTCACACCAAGCTTCCAAAGCAGCTGTTTTTTACAAACAGCCAAAGTTTTTCCTTGCTTTGGTTCGGCTGCTTGCTCAAAATGGCTTGTATCGGAGAGCCATGTAAAATTGTAAATGGCCACACGATGATCAAATTATATTTCGAGATTTTTTCAATCTAACATTGCTTCTAGGCAAGGTTTAAATGATCAGAAATGTAATGAATAAAGACAATTTTAGGAGGACATGACAGATTTTTTCTTTTAGGAACAAGTAAGGAGACATGCTTATGAATTGTTGAAAAATTAAGACACGCATGCAAATGTTGGGGAAACCAAAGAACGCCCCCACCCCCCCAAATATAACATTATATCTAAAGTCTCAGATGATCACAAATCATGTAAGAACAGTTAAGTCCTGATAACCATCCAATGAATCTTTCAAAAACGATAATGCATTATATCATTATCTCATCTCATGGTGCAGCTCTGTCCTTCACAAACATCATAGTGATCCAAGATTGCACCAATCTTAAGATGGAAAAACAAAGGAATTGCTTAACTTGTACGAAATCAACAGTAGACTTTCTTTCCTTGTATTACAACACCTAAATCCTTGTAAAAAAAGCTCTAATACATCTACTCATGGGAAGAGATAATTATAGAATGAATCTGCCAAGGCCACATCACTACAAACTGTTATTAGTGAATTGGTACAAAGTATCTTGGCATTTTGAAGGTTGAAACCCCGGATAATAGGCAAGGGGAATCCTTTCTTCAGGTGTAAGTTCACATATGGCAAGAAAACGGTTTTCAGGAATATCCACATCACTGACTGCACAATAAAAAGAACCATCTGATCAGTAGTACAATAACCATCTTTATGGACCTATGGTCCAATGTGATTCAAATCCATATACTAAAATAAACTGAATGAGTATTGTGCTGACACAGCTGGGCTGATGTAAGCATGAAAACATCACTATACCTGAATTAGGTGCATGTGGAAGTTACCAACTTTGCTCCACTTCAGTGTGAGGGTAAAGTCATTTAATCCAACATTACCCGCCAAGTTATTCCTTATAACCTCAACAGAAGCTGATGTGCTAATCACCTGTTCAAGAAAGAGTTTTCATGATGAAATGCGATAACAGCGTTGAACCTTTGGATTTTATCCTTATGTTACATATTACTTCTATTTCTTACTAAATGATATCAATTAATATTCATAAAGTTGGATGCCTGAAGATGCAGTGTTTTTAAAAGAGTAAAAGAAATCCATGTTTTTGCACATCATCCTATAGTGGTTTAAGGTACTTGTGGGCAATGAAATTTCATGTAAAACCACAGGTTAAGTGAGTGGACGAGAAGGCATCTCTTTTGAGCACCCTGTGTACCAGTAGGGAAGATAGGTACACAAACTACTGGAGAATTGTCTAGGAAGGTGAAAATTTATATATGCAAATATGCAATCAATTTTATAGAATAATCGTACCCTGCAGATTGAACTAAAAGGAATAAGCATAACAAGAATCATAAATCAAGTATATACAAAAGGAAATGAAAATAAGCTTATCAAATATTGAGCTTACCACTGATATGCATGCAACTGGTATTGTTTTATTATCATCCAAAACATCAAGTATCATATCTGAATAAATGGTAGCATTGATATTATCAGGTGAAATCATTATTAGTGGAGGTGAAGATAAAGAAATATTCAGATTCATGTCCTTGTCTGGGTATTTCTTGTACAGTTGAGGAACAATATATTTCCAGCCAGCAGTGTTTAAAATATACTGATCCGGTACTTTGTCCACAGTCCAGTGCATAAAATCTCCCTGATCAATAAAAAGTGTTATTAGTACAAGACTTCCAACCTTGATTCCTTGACAGATACAACTAAACTACATTGACTATATTAATCATAGGCTAGCCAGCCTAGACCTTGATGGATGATGTGCTCAAGTACTCAGTGAGAGTAGTATTAGCTTATACCACCACTGTCTTAACCCTGTTTAGCTTGGGTTTCTCACCTCACAAGTTTCTCAATCCACCCACAGAGCTTAATTTTTTTTATATATCTATAGATCACCCACAGAATGAACTTTTAAAGGCAGTCAGGTAAAGTAGCATGATTAAAATTGATTACTCATTTATTTGTCTATGTCCCCAAGATTTACAAGGGATAATTAACAGTAAGTAGCTTAAAATGCATAGAAAACACTAGTCAATGCACCCTCCACACAACAAAAAGAAAAAAAAAGGAAGTTTCATAGTGAAGTTTAAGGCCAAATTTAACTCACGAGAAAAAAAAACTCAATTCTGAGCAGTTATGACCCCAAGCAATTAATTACACATGCAAACATGATGAGCATCATTTGGTGCCCTTTATTCAAATGAGCACCACTCAGGAATTCTGTAACTGCAATTAATCATAAAAGGGAAATTTATATTCATAAACTAGGAAACTTACATTGAAATATATGTCTGATGCAGAGTTAAATACTGCTTCATCAATTGAAATCTCTAGCATTTTAGGTGGACCTTTGCAGGAAACTGACGATTTTGAAATTTTATGATAATATCCGTGATTTACAGCCTTATCTGCTGCTACAAACAACCCATCAATCTCAAACCCAATGGAAGAATCAGTCAACATAGGATCATTAACAAAAGCGATATTCAGAGCAGCAATCTCATCCACTGGTATTTCTTTTGGGAAAGTATTAAACAAGGAATCAAGCTTCAAGACCCCCTCTTTCATATTCTTGGTAATAGCATTTTCCACTGAAGAAGTTATTTGCCCTTCAAAAAAATCCACCAATCTGCAAAATAGGAGAATCATATGAAAAAATAACTAAGAAGATCAATCAAGACAAGAAAATGATATAAAGGCCATTATAGTAGAAAAGGATGGCCCCATTTCAGTTAGACTATCACAAATAAGAAAGGTACAAGACCACTTAACTGGAAGGAAATAGTCATGCCTAGGGGTATCATTCCTATCCTGGCCTGCAAATTTCCAGGCTTGAGCTTAGGTTTAGTGTCCAAGCCCAGCACAGGCCTGCATCATGCCCAGAATATGTATATACAGGTCTGGGCCTGTATATGTATATGTATACATAGGTTAGGTGCTAAGTCCAGCCTGGCCCATGATAACTCCTATGCCATTCTAATGTTTTCTCATTTCCCATGTGAATGCAAGTTGTAGCTCAAATTTATGTTTGGCACGTGGCATAAGAATAGCCTTCTGCTAGTCAGATTAGGGCAGTTATTTTCTAGGAGGGAGACTTTGAGGTGGTAGTGAGTTGGTCCTTGGTACCTACATCTACATCATACTTTAAGGGAAGTTAGATCTTTACCAGCTGCAGGAAGCTTCTCACTCTTCTGGGATCAGAGCTATGCATATGATAAGGAGAACTGCTTATAGACTTGTTGATTAGACAATAATAAATTTAAGGGTAAGAGTTGAACCAAATCTTTTTTTTTTAAGATAAAAAATAAGGAATCTTATTAAAAAAGAGAATAATTTACAAAGACCCACCGAGAGGTGTGAGGTGCAACCTCTGTTTGGCTAAAGCATCTGCTAATCCATTGGCCAATCTTCTTTCCCACATTACTCAATGCCAAAGCGTCTTATTGCTAGTCAACCATTTAAACCTTTTCAAATCATCCTTGTAGGCCCAAATTACTTTTTTCTGGGTTCTTCAGCCATCTTGTCACCACCTTAGAGTCTCCTTCAATGATTAAATTCTCAATATTCAACTGTCTTGCTAGCTGAATTCCTTGCAGAGCAGCAAAGAGCTCAGATCTAATTGAATCACCCTCCCTAGCAGGGCCTGAGAATAAAGCTAACATACAGCCATCCTTATCTCTAAGTGCACCCCCTATGCCTGAAGGACCCGGATCTCCTTGACTGCTACCATCAAAGTTAAGCTTAACAAACTCAGTTTCAGGTGGAGACCAAATGGAGACAAGTCTTCTTTTTCTTGATGAGCTATTTGCTACAGCATTCCAATTCCTCAAATATCATCAAAGGAGAAGGGTGAAAAAATGTGCAAGGTTTTCACCCTATGTCTAAACCCTTGTTACAATACATTCCATCATTGCTTCCAAGTTTCTTTACTTCTCTAGGAAAATTCTGGTGTTTCTTTAATCCCAAATGGTCCAAATTAAGGCTGCCGCTGTGCTTCTCTAGAGAAGTCTTCCCCTCCTCTTGAGCCAGCTAAAGGTGGTAGAGTCAAAAGGCCTGTGTAGCTCCCAAGGCAAGGTCCAGACAAGAAATCAAGAGGTGGTAACAATTCTCCCCATCAGCTTTACAGAGGACATGCCAGTTTGGAGGTAAACAGAGAGAAAGCCTTCTCTTTTGTAGCAAATCCAATGTATTAAGCACCCACTTCTGGAGGAATGGGCTTGCTCCAAAATTATTTAGGATGAAAGACAAGATTGGACCAAGAGGGGCATAGAGAAGAGAAATAAGAGGCACAAGTAAAAGATCCAAACAAGTGAGGACACCAAATACTCCTGTCAAAAGAGAAAGGGTCTAAGCACACACTTTTGAAGATTTGCAAGAGGCTAGCCACAGAGTGAAGCTCCTACTCTCTCAGACCCCTTTGAAAATACAAGTCCCAAGGTAAGGCACTAGAGAGGGACAAAATTCACAATAGGCTCTTTCTTGAACAAAGAAACAGCATATAATAAGAGTTGAACCAAATCCATCCACCAAAAGTTTTCCCAAAACTTGATCTTGTCTAAATTCCCTACTTAATTTGTGATACAAGGTGAGAAAGTGGAAAGAACACAACTGGTGAATATTCAAGGTAAATGATCAGTGGTCAATTACTCATAAAAAAAAAAAGATTAGTAGTCACTGAGTGCTATGAGTTCGACCTGTTTGGATGATTGTTTCTCTATGTACTAAGTTGGTAGGTTCCATGAGGAGTCACCACAACCAGCTGCCAAATCCAGTTGCATTTCTCTTCCAAACACTCCACCTAATCATTCTCATTGTTTCTGAGCTGATAAGATGATCTTGCTTCTCTTTACTATAGTCATGAAAAAAAAATCACTAGCTTTTCCAGTCATTTTCATAACCTTTTTGGGAAGCTAAAGCAACAGACAAGTAATAAACAGGAGAATGGCAAAATACTAATTTGACCAAAGTGATCCTATAATCCTATTGCCCAGTAGGACAAGAAAATTCTTCTACATGAACAATTTCTGATTCAATCTCTCACCAAGGGATCTAGAAGATGGCAGATCAAGGTCTTACTCCTTTAAGACATTGATATTAGAGAGGACACCAAATAAAGCTATTGAGATAATACAGAAATTGATTAAACACTAGTTGCCAATGGTCTCTTATTCAAGGCAACTTAGGATCAAGAATCACAATGTAATGAATTCCATTATCATAGCACCAAGGCTAATGGATTCTATTATCCTTGTCTAGCAAACTAGTCAGTTGGCTTATGAACCTAAGCCTTAGCCTCTAAAAACCTACTTTCCTTCTTTCTCTCCATGAGAAGTAGCTCTCTCATATTCTTACCATAATACAAGAAGGCTGGCAGTACTAAAGAATTAACATAAAGAAAACAACATTACATAAAAATATAAGAGCATACATAAAAAAATACATGGTGAATTCCCTTCTTATATGCAGTCTGCAAGGTTAGTTTGCAGAACTTGAGAATATCTCTTAAACCACAACCAATAGTCATCTCAAGAGCCTTCATGCTACTGTTATTTTACCTTCTAGTTCTTCCCACAAACTATGGGATTCCCCATGATGCATGGATACTAAACAGCTTTTCTCGAAAGGCTCACCTTCCTAGGAATGTTTTAATAATATACCAAGGCATGATACCAGTCCAAAAAAATTGTAGTCATCCTCCAGGTTTTTGGTTCTAGGGGAGATCCAGTAAGCCATGAGAGCCTCCAAGTGAGTCTGGCTTCTATCAGGGCAGAGTCCATTTGCGCATTGTTCACGCAGCATGAGGACGCGCCATGTGTTCTTTGTCTCATGTGCATGATTGAATGTGTAACATGGATTAAATGCCATTAGCTTCTACTCGTTCCATTCCACTTCCCACACCTCTTTTGCCAGACACACCAAACTGAACTAGACCTGTTCATTCTCACTCTCTCCCTCTCTAACCGGTGGCGACCAACAGCCATCACCAGTGACCAGAGAGGAGTGGGAAGTGTTTAACAAAGGAATGTCACACCACTCTACCATAACCATGGAGAAATTCTTGACAAGTACAAGGGATTCGAGAGTTTCAACTCAGTTGTGGACGTTGGTGGTGGAACTGGAGCCACACTCAGTATGATCACTTCCAAGTACCCTTGTATCAATGCCATTAACTTTGATCTCCCTCACGTCATACAAGATGCACCCTCCTATCATCATAAGTAATTAACCTACCTCCTATATATACTCCATGCTGATAAACATGCCATTTTCATGAAAGTAATATTTTTTTTATTATTTTCAGTTCATCCTTTTATATATACAGTTAACTTATAGCCATGTATACCTCATCTATCTGAACAATTAGAATCTCTCCTGCTTCTCTCCTTTTTACCTCAAAATTAAAGAATACTTATATGATCATAAAGCACAACTGACTCCTGTAGTCATATTGTGTGTTTAAATATTCTTCTGCAGTGGATATGCCATGATTGGAGCGATGCACACTGCTTGAAAATTTTGAGAAACTGCTATCAAGCATTACCAGACAAGGGGAAGGTGATCATCATAGAATCAATTCTTCCAGTATCCCCAGACACTAACCTCGCTGCTAACGGTGTCTTCCAACCTGACAATATTATGTTGGCACATAATCCTGGAGGAAAAGAGAGAACTGAGAAAGAGTTTGAGGGCTTGGCCAAAGCTACTGAATTCGCTAACTTTCAAGTTATGTGCTCTGCTTTTAACAGTTATGTGATAGAGTTGCGCAAAAATTAAACATACCAACCTTTAATTTCGATTTCAAGCTAGTCTTGGATCTCGATCGCTTTGTTCCATTCCACTATTGGTATTTTTCATACCAACTCTGCTTCCCCTTCATTAGTATAGATTTTTCATGTTAACGAACTGAAAAGAGAACCCCACTTGGGTCTCCATCTTGACATGGATGAAAAGGTATTTCATGTTAACTTCATCATTGACATGGGTGAATATACCTTTTCTTGACATGTAAAGCAAGAGAACCCCACTTGGGTCTCCATCATTCTTACTCTGAAAAATTTCGCTCTTAGACTGTATTTGTATTCCCTTATAAAGCAGGTTTTCTCCAAAAATCATTGCTCTACCTGGGTTTTTCTCTGGTAGCCGGTGTTAACAGTTGCCGATGATGGATGTTGGTCGCCGCCGGTTGGAGAGGGAGAGAGTGAGAGTAAACAGGCCTGGTTCAGTTCAGTGTGTCTGGCGAGAGAGGAGCAGGAAGTGGAATGGAATGAATAGAAGCTAATGGGCGTTTAATCCATTTCGCACGTTTCAAGCACATGCACGAGAGAAAGAACACGTGGCATGTCCTCATTCTGCGCGAACAGTGCATGCATGGACTCTGCCCTGATAGAAGCTGAACCCCCTCCAAGCACATACAGTTTCCTTAATCCATGACATCATGCTTTGAAGGCATTGTAAGATGGAAACCACACCCATTGTCCTATCCATTTCTTGGATTTTGGTTTCTTGGACCAGGAGAAAAATTCTCCCAATTCATTTATCTATTTATCTCTTTTTTTCAGTTCTTCCTTCATGTACATCTCTAACACTGCCCACAAAGTCAAATCTTCCAATTATCTTCACTTGTTATAA